AATTTTATATATAAAATTAATTTTGAGTTCATATATGTAATTTTAATTTATGTAATATATATATAATTTATATAATATATTTAATTTATTTAACATTAAAAATAGTTATATTTTTATTAATTTTATAATCATAATTTTTTTAAGGTTATAATTTAAAATATAATTTTGTTAACTTTATATTTATAATTTATATAATAAGAAGAATGTATATCCTCTTCTAAAGCAAGAGATTCAACAAAATCATAGAGAACAAGCATTTTTGGCTCCAGGAACACTTAGAAGTAAGTGAAACTTTATGGTACTATTAATTCATTTATAAAAGTATATAGCATGGACAATACAATACCGTGACTAAATGAGTAAAATGATCTTTAAATGGATGTTTGATAGGTTCTGATAACCAATGGACAACTAGCTGGTGGGAACAATTCATGGTTTTGCTTCAAAGGGGTTTAAAAGAGAGGAGGCATGAATCTTTTTCTCACCTAAGGATCTTCCAAGTCTTTTTATGAGAATCAGTTATTTTTTTAAATAATTGATTAATTTTTAAATAATCAATTAGTTTTTTAAATATATATTAAATAATTATAAAAAAAATATATATGAAATTAAAATTAAAAAAAAATAATTATTTTTAAATGATATATATTATATATATTATATAAATTATAAATATAAAGTTAAAAAAATTATATTTAAAATTATAACCTTAAAACAATTATGATTATAAAACTAATAAAAATATAACTATTTTTAATGTTAAATAAATTATATATATTATATAAATTATATATATATATTACATAAATTAAAATTACATATATAAACTCTAAATTAATTTTATATATAAAATTTACATAAATAAAAATAAAAATTATCAACTTAAAAATAAATTATATTTTAATATATATATATATATATATATATATATTTATTCTCTAAAGTATAACTTATTTTCATTTATAATATATATATATATATATATATATATATATTTTAACTATTTAGAAAACTAAACAATTATTTCCAAAAGTAATCGATTAGATTTTTCATACTTATTTAAGATAGCAGTTAACGTGGGACCGCTTATCATATATGTCACTTATAAGAGTGTTTCATGTCAACCGCTATTATATATATATATATATATATATATATATATATATATATTTTTTTTTCAACTATTTAAAAACTAAATGATTATTTCAAAAAGTAATCGATTAGTTTTTTCATACTTGATTTTTTCATACTTGATTTTTTCATACTTGATGAGAATCAATTATTTTTTTAAATAATTGATTAATTTTTAAGTAATCAATTAGTTTTTCAAATGTATATTAAATAATTATAAATAAAAAAATATATCAACTTAAAATTAAAAAAAATATTTTTAAATTATATATATTATATAAATTATAAATATAAAGTTAAAAAAATTATATTTAAAATTATAACCTTAAAAAGATTATAATTATAAAATTAATAAAAATATAACTATTTTTAATGTTAACTAAATTATATATATTATATAAATTATATATATATATATATATATTACATAAATTAAAATTACATATATGAACTCTAAATTAATTTTATATATAAAATTTACATAAATAAAAATAAAAATTATCAACTTAAAAATGAATTATATTTTAATATATATATATATATATATATATATATATATTTATTCTCTAAAGTATAACTTATTTTCATTTCTATAATATATATATATATATATATATATATATATTTTTTTTTTAACTATTCAAAAAACTAATCGATTATTTCAAAAAGTAATCGATTAGTTTTTTCATACTTATTTAAGATAGCGGTTAACGTGGGACCGCTATCATATATGTCACTTTTAAGAAGCGGTTCCACGTTAATCACTATTATATATATATATATATATATATATATATATATATATATTTTTTTTTTTTCAACTATTTAAAAAACTAATCGATTATTTCAAAAAGTAATCAATTAGTTTTTTCATACTTTTTTCATACTTGATAAGAATAAGTTATTTTTTTAAATAATTGATTAATTTTTAAATAATAAATTAGTTTTTCAAATATATATTAAATAATTATAAATAAAAAATATATCAACTTAAAATTTTAAAAAATAATTATTTTTAAATTATATATATTATATAAATTATAAATATAAAGTTAAAAAAATTATATTTCAAATTATAACCTTAAAAAAATTATAATTATAAAATTAATAAAAATATAACTATTTTTAATGTTAAATAAATTATATATATATATATATATATATATATATATATATATATTACATAAATTAAAATTACATATATGAACTTTAAATTAATTTTATATATAAAATTTACATAAATAAAAATAAAAATTATCAACTTAAAAATAAAGTATATTTTAATATATATATATATATATATATATATATATATATATATATATATATATTCTCCAAAGTATAACTTATTTTTATTTCTATAATATAAAAAATATATATATATATATATATATATATTTTTTTTTTAACTAATCGATTATTTTGAAATAATCGATTAGTTTTTTTTGAGAACCAGTTATTTTTTTAAATAATTAATTAATTTTTAAATAATGGATTAGTTTTTTAAATATATATTAAATAATTATAAATAAAATATATATGAAATTAAAATTAAAAAAATAATTATTTTTAAATTATATATATTATATAAATTATAAATATAAAGTTAAAAAAATTATATTTAAAATTGTAACCTTAAAAAAATTATGATTATAAAATTAATAAAAATATAACTATTTTTAATGTTAAATAAATTATATATATTATATAAATTATATATATATATATATATATTATATATATATATATTACATAAATTAAAATTACATATATGAACTCTAAATTAATTTTATATATAAAATTTACATAAATAAAAATAAAAATTATCAACTTAAAAATAAATTATATTTTAATATATATATATATATATATATTTTTTTTTAACTAATCGATTATTTTGAAATAATCGATTAGTTTTTTATGAGAACCAGTTATTTTTTAAATAATTGATTAATTTTTAAATAATCAATTAGTTTTTTAAATATATATTAAATAATTATAAATAAAATATATATGAAATTAAAATTAAAAAAATTATATCTAAATAATAATATATTTAGATTTATGGTTGAACATAGTAAAATAATATTTTTAAAATATATTATTAAATATTATATTTATATTATTTGTATGGTTAATTTTTTTTAAATTTATTTATTTATTTATTTGATATTGTAATATATTTTTAAGAAATTAATAATAAATTAGGAGGATCATAAAATTCTTAAAAATTATATGTATGTAAGATGAAATAATATTTTGATGTAAAATTATATTTTTGAAATGTATTTTTTTTCTTATGTTTTTGTAATATTTTGAATGATATATATATATATATATATATATATTTTTTAAATATAATTTATTTTTAAGTTGATAATTATTATTTTAATGTATACAATAAATATATATAATAATAATAATTAATTGGAAATTAATATATGTAATTTTAATTTATGTTATATATATAATTTATTTAACATAATATATATATATATATATATATATATATATATATATATATATATAATAATTAATTTGAACAGAGGTCACGGGTTGTACATGCGAGAGGTCACGGCCGTACAACCAACTTCACGTGTTTACAGCTTCACGTGTTCACAGCTGATAGAACTTGAACCAAAGCCCGTAGTTATAGGACTTATTCTTTCTTCTTTAGTTACAACTGATAGGGAAAGTTATTGTATTATATAAAGTAAAGCTAGTCTCATAAGACTAGCTAAAAGACTCTATTCCATATGCCAAAGCTTGGAGTGGGACTTCGGCTCGGAAACATTCTTTACTTCACAAGAGTCTCCCACCAATCAGAGAAGTTGCTTGACGCAGTCAAAGAAAAGATGATAGTTTGATCCCAGATTGAACCGAAGCCTACTTCCTTTTTCTTGGGATCTTTCTCTTTCTTCCGGGAAAGGGAACAACACCGTACTATGTTCTCGCTAACCCTTGTGAGTCGTGTTCTCGGCTAGCTCCCGTCGGCTGCACCGAGTTTTGAGTTGCCTTCGTCGCTGTCTTCTCCAACTTCTGTCTTTGTTAGAGCTCCTTGGAACCATAGGTAAGCGTCTCCTTTCCTTTCAACCATGACTGCCTCGTCGTTCTGGCGCCAAACTCTCCTCTAGTGGGCACCTCTCTGGCCGCCATGGTGGACCTCGTGGGTGCAGCTGCAGTCGTGTGCATGCATGAGAAGAGGTCCATAATCACCCTCCACAATCAGCTATGCATGGCGACAATAATCTCTGCGTGGCGCATGGTAGGAGCCAAAAAACAGCTCCACGACAACCTCTGCATGGCCATCTCAGGTGGCGAGGGTGGGCCTTGTGGTTGCGCCCCTGTGTGGAGCCCCGTAAACGTGGATCCATGGTTTGTCATACGTGAGATTCATTTGTTTGTATTTGTGTTGTAGGTTGGATCTTCGCCAGCGGCCATCAACTTCGGTGTGACCTTGTCCCACCAACAGCTTGCTTGGTATCTTCTCGGAGGAACACCCCAGGTATGGTTCTGTGTCTTCTCTGTCATGCTTGGAACCTCAAACTTGGTTGGTACGTTTGTTTTTGGAGTCTGTGTGCATGCATAAGAGTGTGTGTGACCATTCAGATTTGAGGTATAAAACATGGCCAAACCTCCTCCACTCCAACAAAAAATGGGCACCATACGACCATGGTTTCTGACTTGTGCATTGGTTATGTTGTTGTTGCAGGCTGTATCTTAAGGGCACCGTCAAGTTCGCCGTCAGCTTGTCCTACAAAGAGCTTCATTCATATTTTCTCCCACAGGTATGGTTCATATGTTGTTTTCCATGGTTGCAACCTGAGACTAGTTCTACTGGTGTTGTACTCCATGCATGGTTGAGGTAAAAATTGGTAGCTACTGCATATGCATCTTGGAAGCAAAAACTGGGAATGATGGAAGCAAAAATTGGAACGAAAAACTGGAACCAAAATCCCTGTTTTTGCAATTATAATTATCATATGGAAATTTTGAATTTTTTTTATATATACTGAAAAGAAAAAAATAATTGAGAGATACATGAAAAAAATTTAGTAAAAATTAGGACGATACACTATTAATGCATAATTAAATAAGGAAAAAAATTTAAATATAGTTATATTTAAAAAATAAATTTATTATTTTTATAACAAATGGAGTATGTAAAATTGAGAAAAGAACAAAATTTATAAAAATGAGAATTTGTTAAAAAAGAAGTAAAAATATTAGAGGAAAAAAATTATTAGTAGTTTTGTAAATAATTTTTGGTTTTGTGATACTCGGTTTGCAGATGGCAATTTTGAATTACTTCCATTAAACATTAATATATATATATATATATATATATATATATATATATATATATATATATATTTTGCAGATGGCGAACAAAAACATCGAGGTCATTGGTTTAGACAATGACGATATAGATACTCGGTCTCGGATATAAACATAATTTCACATATACAAAGTGAGATAAAAAAGCGAAGCGAAGTAGGAGCGATGACAATTCTTTGTTTCATAGCTTATGGATTAAATATGTTGTCTATGGTAACTTGTAGTAGCGGTAACATTAGGGACTTTATTTCTGAAAAAGAACGTCGTCGGCACGAGTTGATGTCATACCTTATTCATACTGAACAATCTCGTGACATTATTCGCATGGGACCGGAGACGTTCATTAACTTGTGTCAACGAGTAAGGACAACTGGATTAGTAAACGATGGTTACAATCAACAGTGGAAGAACAAGTGGCTAAATTTCTCCATATTATCGGACATAACGTTAAAAATCGAACTGTTTCATTTTTTTCCCATCGATCAGGTGAAACCGTTAGTCGACACTTTCATAACGTGTTGAATGCGATAATAATGTTGGAGGAACAATTAATTGTTCAACCATCAGGAAGGGATGTGTGTCCGTATATATTAAACAATAACCGATTTTACCCATACTTTAAGGTAATCTACTTACCAACTTTGTGTCTAAATAACATACACATAGATTGTCTAAACTTTAATGACAATAAATTTTTTTACCAATTAGGATTGTTTAGGGGCAATAGATGGAACTCATGTTCGAGTTAAAGTCGCAAGATCCGATGCCCCTCGTTTTCGTGGAAGAAAAGATTGGCCAACACAAATCGTATTTGCAGCTTGTGATTTCGACATGAAATTCACATATGTTCTAGCAGGGTGGGAAGGAACAACATCTGATTCAAGAATATTAAAGGATGTTCTTACGAGAGAGGATCGCCTTATCATACCACAAGGTTTATTATTTATAACGTGGGGATTTTGTGTATAGTCAACTAGTTTAAATATTCTAATTAGTATAACTTCAATGATTTTAAATAGGTAAATACTACTTGGGGGATGCTGGATTTATGTTAAAAGCAAACATAATGACCCCTTATCGAGGCATTAGATACCACCTTAAAGAGTATTCTCGACGAGCTCCACAAAACCTCCGAGAATTGTTTAACCATCGACATTCGTCTCTTAGAAATGTAATTGAAAGAACATTTGGAGTTTTGAAGAAAAGATTTCCTATAATAGCTAGTGGAACAAAGCCTCATTATTCATTTGATACAATGACGAATATAGTCCTAGCATGTTGCATTCTACACAATTTTCTTCGAGGGATAGACAACGATGAATCACTGTTAGCTGAAGTGGATCGAGAGTTGATGGAACAAGATGTGGATAATATGTCGACTCAAGTTCGGGAAGAGGATTATAGGGAAGGGTCAAACTTAAGAGATACTATAGCAAATCAAATGTGGATAGATTATCAAAGTCATTAGATTTTGTATGTAACAATATATTTAATGAGATGTACTATTGTTATTGTTGAAATACGATTACATTACGATTATCTATTTATAATAATTATATGTTGGTATCGTAATTACATATATTATCTTTCCAATAGGTTTAAAATGAACAGAGGAAAGGATATTGCACCGAATTCGTCAACTGTAGTGCGCGAGTTTACAAAATGGATTGATGACATGGACTTTCGGTTGTTGACTGCTATGCTTCATGAGGCAAGGTTGGGTAATCGGGTTGATGGTAGTTGGACAACCCAAGCATATAATAATATAGTTGAATCCCTAAGACAGTCTGGATTAATTGGTATAACTAAAAATAATGTTAAAAATCGACAAAAAAGTCTTAAGGATAGATGGCGAGAGGTCCACGATTTGTTTCATGGACTTAGTGGATTCGCTTGGGATGATATCATAAAACGGTTTATGGCTGAGCAAGAAGTATGGGATGACCTAATCAAGGTACTATTATATGAATTATCATTTGTTGATATAGCAAAACATAACAATTACGAGTGTTAACCATTCTCATTAATTTGTAGGCGAAGCCTTCTGCAGCTAAATGGAAACTGTCAACTATAAGGTATTATGATTTGATGGAAGAATTGTGGGGTGTTGATCGAGCCACTGGACATATGGCAAGAACTTCGCGTCAGTCCCGAATGAATATCAGTTCTCGAAGGGCAACAGTCGACTTGAACGTTGATGTGGACCCCACACCAGAGGAGCAGCCATTTCACTTTGGCTTTGATGCAGGATTTGATACAACTTATTGATCACCTCCACGCATGGGTTCCGACAGTCCTGCTGAGGGTGCTCAGTCAATGCCATTTGTTGCGTCTACTGGTTCAGGTGGAACCTCTTCATCTCGGGGCACAAAAAGAAAAACGCCTATGGTTGATGTGATGGAAGGTCAATTTGACAAACTAACAATGAGGCTGGACACATTCACAGATTACCTTGGGCAAGGTAATACATTGACCCAACGATTATCTGACATAGCTGAAAGACAGGTGATCGCCATTGAACGCATAAATGATTTAATTAATGAGCAAGTTAATGTGATGAGACGATCATCAACATTTCAACATTCCGAGTCAGATATATGGGACATGTTAGTCGGCATGAACCTAAATGACGAGCAACTTATGCTTCAGTGTTATAATCATTTGTGTACTCACGAATCACATGTTAGACGACTTTTTGGCTTGCCCTCACATCTTCGTCTCTCCTAGTTGTTCATGTTCTTGGGTGGAAGTGATTGAATGATCTGCTATAAAAACCTCAAAATACTTTAAGATTCATTCAGGAGCTCTTCGATCACAATGAATTTGGCAGACCTACTCGGCAAACCTTTCGACGAGATACTACTATTGAAGTACATTCTGACAAGGGAACTTCTGAACTCGAGGACTTGACTGCAAATGATCGATAACATTATAATTATTTGTTTGAAGAACATTAGTGTGCATAGGTTTATAATTTTAGTAATGTTTGTCAAATATCTAATGTCTCGTATTAATTAATATTATTTGATAATTAAAATTTATGACATGTAATTCTAATATATATATATATATATATATATATATATATATATATATATATATATTATGTTGAAAATATAAAAATATGACACAAATATATATTAATATAATTTTTAACTAAATAATAAAATATTTTTACTATTAAGTTTACATGAATTTTTCATTTAATTATTATTCTATTTTCACTATATTTTATATTTATTTAAAATAATAATTTATAATTATATTATTAGTTTTCATAATTATTTGTTATTATTAGTCAATATTAATTATTATTTTATATTTTATAATTATTTAATTACTAGTCAAATAATTTATTTAATATGTCAAAATTATTTTTTTATGGATATGCAATGTAAATAATTTTGTAATTGTTTATTTATATAATTTTTAATAACTATTTAAAAAAAATTAATTTTTTAAATTTGTTTCCACTTACAAACACTTTTAATTTTTTTTCTTTCAAATATATAATCAATGTTAAAATATGGATAATTAATTAAAAAATTATATTTATAATAATTTTAACCTTATTTTATACACAAGGGTAAAATGGTAATTTTCTTAAATAATCAATTAAAAATATAATTTTTGTATCTCATATCAATCAAATCACTCACAATTTTCCATAAACTTTTCTTTCACTTTCCATTCATCCAAACAACTTTAATTTCACCTTCATTTTTCTTCAAATTCCTCCTTTTTCACCCTCCCATTTTCACTCTCTCAAGTCAACCGCGGTGCCCGTGCGGCCTTTGTGTTAGTTATTAGCAACAAAACCATGTTAGCCACCGTTGGTGCTGTGTGTAAATATATATAAGCATTTGTTCTGTGACCCGGTGAAGATGTACGGTTAAAAGAGGCAACCTGGGTACCAACCAGGTCAATTCCCAGATCGTGACCACTCCATTTCATTCCATATTTGTGTTGTTCTTGTTTGTGGTAATTAATTAATTTTAAGTGACTTAATTAATTAAGCCGTTTTATTAATTGAAATGCAAACTTACAATTTCTGCTCAAAATAATTATGTGCTGTAAATCCATATGAGTTTTATCATCAACAAAATAAGCTTTTTTCATCAACTGTCATTTATTTAAGTTTACGTGAAATTAAATTAATTTGACCAGAAAAGCTCTGCTGTTAGACCAGTACTAACTTTAACTTATAAGCTAGAAAGATAAATGATATGGTAGTTAAGTGTGTGGAAAAAAACAAAATCCATTCCACTTTTTCTTTTTGTCATTTTATTATTTCACCCACTAACCGATGTGACAAGTATTTGTGGTAGAATAATAGGTTAGTTTGTCTATTTCAACTTTGAATTTACTAAAAATGATGAAAGGCTAGCTGGTTAGAATATGAGCTGATTCCATTTGCATAGCAGTGGGGTTGTACTTGTGCCGATACAAAACACTCCACGTTTCATATCCTGACAGGTGGGGTTCTTTTATGAAAACCAAGCTCTAAATTCCCATCTCACTACTGATTTAA